CCCCAGGTTGAGAACCGCTGAACTAGAGGAATATAGTGTGCTTTGTTGGTACTATACTGCACCCTGACTGGCTCGTCTTTTGTGACCCTTCTGTGAGGGGGTGTCCAATTGTCTACGGTTGGGCTTTGGGCCTCTACTCTACCTCCCATCATTTTGTATCAATATGATTTTTTGTTTTGGATCTTCTGATGCCTGATACCTCATTGTGGGATAAACTGGGGGTGCTAGCCCCCCACCACTAACCTCGGGTTTAGCAAGCACAATTGTATGATTGAGATATATATCTATATATAGATATAGATGTAGATAATAATATCAAGACCATGAGAGATAAAAGAGATAATGCAATAATGGAGTCAGACACATTTCATGGTAGCATGCTCACCTCAGCCCTGCTTGATGGCCCACGTGAGAGAGGGGGAAGGGAAGGAGAGGAGGGGGAGAGGGTTCTCTATTGGTAACCAGGCCTATATACCTTGTGGGGGCGTGCAAGCCCACTAGTTACAGGTAAAGACACAGGAAGGGGTTGCACTATAGGTTATACAGTAATGGAAAGGGGTGGTCTAGGGGCATACACGCAATAGGAAGAGGAGGGATTAGGGGTATACATGTGACAAGATGGGCGGATTCTAGATATACATGGTAGCCTAACTTTGGATGTCACAGAGCCAGTTTGACCTGTTCCTTGGCTCAACTGATAACAGACCATTATCAGTAGAGTGTGAACTCCACCTACAGGAACCAATGCCTGTTCATTGTCCTTGAACAGCAGGGAGCGGGGCCTACCCTGTAGTCTGGCTACTAACTGCCTTCAGGGAGGATGTCTGTAAGCATCTGACCTCCCCCCACACCTGGTGACCACAAAGGCTGGTGTGCTTCCCTGTGGGCTTTGTTGCTTCCCTGCTAGATGGCCACTTGATTAACTTTAAGACCCCAGACACTATGTGTTTTGATAGCCAGGCATCATCAGCTTTCTTCACCACATTTGTTTATACACTCATTTTGACTTCAGCGATCGTGTTGGGAAGGTAAGCATCACAGAATGCCAGGTTATTAGAACAAAATGCTCTTGCATAGAAGGAGTATTTGAGTAGCGACCCAATGCCCCTCTGCTACCTTAGTACTTACCATTTCAGTATATGTACCTAGACCTATGTCCCTGTCATTATATATTAACCTGTGCATGCCTATATTTATACATCCATAAATGTTTAAATTCTTATGGAAGTAGACTCCTTTCTTCTTGGGCTGGATTATGAGTCAGTCTCTTGTTAGCAGCTGTGTAATGTGCCACTGGGGCTACTGCTGCTTTGCTTGAGGCTACCCTTACCATCCCAGTGAAGCACTCTTATTATCACAGTCTTAGTCCGCCTTTTTGTCCTGCTCCTTCTCAGGCTTTTCCTCAGCACCATAGTGAAGGCTAATCCGATTGTCTCCGTTGTTCTCAGCCTCTTAGCCCCAGCCTTTTGTAAATCTACTTGATTATTAACTTAGATGTCCAACAGACTTCTTAAGGTGTTCAGTTGAGCTTACATAAGTTAGAAATATATGTTCGAAAAGTCTGTCAATATTGTATAATTCAAAAAGAAAAAATATGTAGTGTATAATTCTACGTATGTGAGATGTCTAGAACTGGAAACCCCAGGGGCTGTGGGAGAGGAGTTATGGGAATGGTTGCAAAGAGGGCACAGGGTTCATTTTTGAGGTGACGTAAATATTCTAAAATTGGTTGTGGTGATGCTTTTATAACTGAATATACTCAAAACCACTGAGCTGTACACTATAAAAAGGTAAGTTTTATAGTATGTAAAGTATGTCTTAAAAAAGATGTTAGTAGAATTTGTCTTTGGAGATTCTGTATGCATGCATAATAAGTTTAGTGTGAGTGTCCAGTGAAAATACATTGACAAATCCTAACAGAATTAGAAGGGGAAAGAATGATATACTTGGCAGGGAAGAGAAAAATCAACTTGAATTTGCATCTCTGATGAATTAGCATTATACAAGGGCTTCAAAAAGTTTGTGGAATAATTTCATCTTTCAGTTCCACGTTTTCACAAACTTTGAAGTCCCTTCATTATGACTTTTCTGTTCTGAGAGAATGTTGGATTTATATTAAAGTGATGTTCTCTTTATGGATTATTTTTAATGTATTTTAAAATAGGTCAGTCTTATGAAATTCGGATGCTGGATAATCGGAAAATGGGAGATATGCCAGAGATGAGTGGAAAAATGGTAAAGGTAAGGACTAAAACCAAACTCGCTGCCATTGAGTTCTGAGTCATAGCAGCCTGGTAGGGCAGAGTAGAGGGAGTGCTCCTTAGAGTTAGTGAAACTGTAAGTCTTCAAGGAAGCAGACTGCTTCCTCCATCTTTTCATCTTCTGTGAAGCTTTGGTGACCTTCTTCCAGTTAACAGCCTGGTGCTTAACCCGCTGTACCACCAGGGCTCCAAATGGAAGGGCAGTTCATTTTCATTACTAACTGGAATGAGGTTACAGTCTTCCTGCCAGAGTTTTGACTAAAACATTGTTTAGTTCCATACCAAGACGTTGTAGACGTAGTAAAACTTCTGTCTGAGCTGTGTGTGTGTGTGTATGTATATATATGTGTGTGTATATATATATGTATATGTATATACATATATATCTTTAAAATTGGAACTACAACAGTAAATGGCTGAAGTAAGTGCACAAATCCTTTGGGACAAAGGGAATCATATAAAACTTAGTTGTAGTAGAACAGCCCCAGCATGAAATCAACACCACAGTTAACATTATTTTGTACCAAAGTCAAGATCGTTTGTGGGGTAAGATGTGAATATTATTTAAATATTGTTTTTAAATATCTTAAAACCTATAAGAAACTTTTTTTCCTCTTAAAAGTTCTAAATAGGAAAAAATCTGTTACCATTTTAGTGTATCTGGATGAAACAACCCATCCCAGATGTCGGAGGTCAGCGCCATTGGCTTGCACACCAGTTCTTTTTAGAATACACCTTCCAGCCATTCTTGTGCCCCGCAGTCACATTTGCTTTCCTGGTCCTTTCCTTTCCCGCTGAGAGGCCTGTATGGGTAGACATCACACTGGAGGGACCTTGCCTCTTTGCGGAGCTGCCGTTTGAAAGAGCAGGCAAAGGAAAGGCTGCTTGGTGAGGAGGATAGATCTTCAGGCTGCTTGGTTGCAGGCAGTTATAATTTGGGGTCCTAGCTAGTAATCCATGTTTTCTGGAAAGGCTAGCTTCTCAGCACCAAAAGGCCTACAGGGCCTCTGGGTATGTTGCCATGTCTTCTCGGCACTGCGTCCAGGAAGTCCCCGCTCCTCTAGGTGGCTGCTCTTGGGAAAGATGGGGGCTCAGGACCACCGAAATTATTGCCTTACCAGTCTGAGGGAGCTCTGAGGATTTTTCCCTTTCTAACTTACTCTCGGTAGGAGCTCTCAACATATTTAGGATAGAAGTAAGGGGATGTTTGGGGCCCGATCTCGTATTTGCCATTTGTATTTTGAGTCTCCTGTGTCTATTCCCAATTAGTTGGGGTTGGTCACACATAGATATTTTGTGTAATAAAAGTTTCTGTGAATTTTGCAACAAAATCTTTTGGTTAGTTACCCTTGTTTATGCCTATAGGAAAATTACTGAGTCATATGATAAGTCTAACTTTTTATTTGTTTATTTAAAAAATCATTTTATTGGGGGCTTGTACAAATCTTATCACAATCCATCCATCCATTGTGTCAAGCACATTTGCACATTTGTTGCCATCATCCTTCTCAAAACCTTTCTTTTCTACTTGAGCCCTTGGTATCAGCTCCTCAGTTTTCCCCTCCCTCTCCGCCCTCCTCCCTCACGAACTCCCGATAATTTATAAATTATTATTTTTTTAATGTCTTAACACTGTCCAGTATCTCCCTTCACCCACTTTTCTGTTGTCCATCCCCCAGGGAGGGTTTATATGTAGATGCTTGTGAGTGGTTCCTCCTTTCCACCCCACCTTCCCCTTCCCCTCCTGGTATCACTACTCTCATTATTGGTCCTGGGGGGTTTGTCTGTCCTGGATTCCCAAGTCTAACTTTTTTAAAGGAACCACTGTGCTATTTCCCCAAACTGTTCACTCCAAGTTAGAATGACTACATTGAGAAGGAATACCATTATTATACCGCTATTTTAAATGAAGTTAATTTGATCACTGGACGTGCATTTTTCCCCTCTGCTCATATTTTATTCTTTTTAATTGTTCCTATGTCTTTGGACATTTTGTTTGTCTTCAAAATAAAATTCATTCCTTACTGCTTTTATAGGAATGGATCTTAATTTTAAGTTATAATACTAAACTCTCATGGAAATTCACTTGCATTCTTTATATGAGTTAAACTTTGACCAAATAATTGTACCCATAATTTAGACATCTGACTGCAGATACTTTCAGACTAGCTAACTTATAAAATATTTAAAGCATACTTTTGTATGCTATTTTGTATTGTAGGTTAGTACATAAATCGTGAAAGTGCATCTGAATTTTTAAGTAGAGCAGTTTAGAAATAGCCCCATTTTCCTCACTTGTTCTATAGAGCATCATACGAGTCGTATTCCATGACAGACGGCTACAATATACAGAGCACCAGCAGCTTGAAGGATGGAAGTGGAACCGCCCAGGAGACAGACTTCTCGATTTAGGTACATGTCAAAAGACCATGGAGTAATGAGGGCAGTTGTTTATCTCCAGTGTGCTGGACCAGATGGAATTTTCTGGAAAGAGTTTTGTTATTAGCAGATTCTGTGAATGGAGTTGTTTTGTAGTTAAAAGCAAAGTCACTTTCTTGGTGCTAACCATTCTGGAGCCATACATTTTATGAGCTTGAAACGATCTAATTCTCAATGAATGCTTTTTACCGTGTGCTTAAGGGAATTAAATATAACCATGGTGGGAGAAACGCGATACTCATTAGATGGGTTGTGAGTTGAAGAGGTTGACCATTAAGAACACCGAAAGGCAAAAGCTCCATATGGTGGTATAATGGTTTTATGAGAACACATTAGAGGAAGGCTTAGTCATTCAGTGAGGGTGAGTTTTCAATGTCACTTCTTTTTTTTACTCTAGATATCCCAATGTCTGTGGGAATAATTGACACAAGGACAAATCCAAGCCAATTAAATGCAGTTGAATTTCTGTGGGACCCTGCAAAACGCGCATCTGCTTTCATTCAGGTCTGGATTTTCACGTGTTTGACTTAGTCTTGTAGAAGAAGGCCATGGATAGGATTGAACTCCTGATGTCTGGTATACATATCTGCTCCTCACTAGGTTCCACAGGCTAGGTCAATAGGCCCCCCCCAAATGAAGATAATTATATCAGATCACAAAATAGAGATTGACTACATCATCACTTAACTGCCAAACCACTGATAAGCATGACTCAGACAAGTTGACACATGCTGTAATCGTCATAGCAAGCATTGCGGTCACTTCATTTCTTGGTATTTATTACTGCCAGATGTACATATGTTGCTAATGTGCAAAATACTTGGGGGTGGTATATTTTTTGCTATTATTGTTAATATGAAATGTTGGGTAATGATAGATAAATAGGAATAAATATATCCTGTGCATATTTGTAAATTATCCTGTGATGTCTTTAAAAAATATATACACAGTAAAATGAGATTTAATCTATTAAATCAATTTACTATAAATTAACGTGGAGACATTTAATGATTTATGAAGCATTATTCAAATATTTTTGCCACTAGTATTCACAACAATAAAAACGTCCATTTCTCATGAAGAAAAACTGTATAGAAAGGATGTGTTTGAAAAAAGCGTAAGGTTTTAAAACATAACACCATTACAGTAACATTATACTGCTGAAATTTTCAAACCCAACAATATTAAGAAAATCATAGTGAACCCTGTGTACCCTGCACTTAGCTTCAAAGCTTGATAAAAGCAGTGGTATGCCCTTTAAAAAATTATTTTTAAATACTTAAAATACTATTGTACCTGAGAACAAATACAGTGAAGAAATACTACCACCAAGACAAACTTAGTCATAATTCCAATACCCTGCGACAATGATTACGTAATTCCTCTAGATATGATTGACCTATTGAATGATAGGATATGTGGATTCTGTGCCAATAAAACTGTTTTTAAAATACCCTGTATATTCAAATTTGTAACTAGTGATATTAAGACTATTGAGTAAGGTAACAGTTATGTAGAAAAAAGAAACTTTAACTGATTAGCCTAGTAGGCTAGGATTAACTTTTGCTTTTTTGTTTGTTTATAGATAGGGTTTGTCACCCTTGAGATTTTCGTTAGTTGAGTAGTGAATTAAAGCAATATAAGATCTACCCTTTAATCCCAGGTTGTACAAGAGTCTTATTGCATAGATTGGTATTAACAAGATGAGGGCAGGGCTGCAGGATCTTGAGTGGCCTTAGAATGGTTAATAGAAGATGTTAAATGAGTAGAGGATTGGTTGGCCTGTAGTAGCTCCTACACAAATTACTGTGTGTAGGAAGAATAGTGAGAGAGTTGGCTGGCCGCAGCAGAGTAGTGGCATTGGAGGGCAGACAGGAAGTTTTGAAATGAGATAGATCTTCTTTGGGTTTGCTTAGATGGCTGGGAGTCAGGACAGGATGGTGCTGACACACTATGGTGTAAAAGTTGAGTCCAGGTAGGGTCAGAGATATAGTAGGGAGTCACCATACTGTTGGACCCTTGGCCCACCAAGTCGTGCATTAGCGAGGAGGCCCTGGATGATCCGGAGTGCATCGCAGAGCCCAGAGAGACTCATTTCTGTTTGCATCTAAAGGAAAGCCAGGCGGTGAACCTGATTCAGAGATATTAATGAGATGCATGTTTGGGAGTTCATTGTCAAAGACCTTAAATTTATAGTGGTAGCAGTATATCCAGAAGGATACAACATAGAAGGTAATCAAAGGAAGGTGCTTTGAGTCCATTGCAGTATAAATTGTTTTCTTAGGTACATTGCATCAGCACAGAATTTACTCCCCGGAAGCATGGAGGCGAAAAGGGAGTACCCTTTAGGATCCAAGTGGATACCTTTAAGCAGAATGAAAATGGGGATTACACGGATCATCTACACTCAGCTAGCTGCCAAATCAAAGTGTTCAAGGTAAGAAATGGAAACTAGACTTCAGTAATTAAGACTTTGTTCCACCCATAAATCTACTAGCTTTCTTCAGCCAAGTGAAATAATCAATCTACTTTGTTTAAAGCCGAAAGGAGCAGATAGGAAACAAAAAACAGACCGAGAGAAGATGGAGAAGAGAACTGCCCATGAAAAAGAAAAATACCAGCCGTCCTATGATACCACAATCCTCACAGAGGTAATGTGGAGCAGCATTTTGGTTTCGGAAGAGAAGCAGAGGTTTGCATATTAGCAGCATCCCAAAGAGATGAGTGTCGCTAGGAAGGGTTAAGTTAGGGGAGGATTGGGTGGCAGGTTGATAGAATAATGACCTTTGTGAATTCATGGGAAATAGTTAATATAACTATGGGGGTTTTAAGAGTGTAGTTTCCTGGGTGGGATCTTGAATGAAGATGTTGAAATCCCAAATCAGGTCTTGGGAGCAGACCTTAAACCCTTGAAGTCGGTGAGAGAGATTAAGTTGGGCGGTAGACTGTCGAGAGTCTGACCACGGCTGGGGTTTTGCAGGTTCTTTCCCTTTGGCTCCTGCTAGTCAGACATTTGTTTGATTGGACTGCAGAGGCATGAAGCAGGGTATTAGATCTTTCTTTGTATAATGAAAAGACATTGATCCCAATCTTTGGTGTTTGTCCAGATGAGGCTTGAGCCTATAATTGAAGATGCAGTTGAACATGAGCAGAAAAAGTCCAGCAAGCGGACTTTGCCAGCAGACTACGGTGATTCTCTGGCAAAGCGAGGCAGTGTAAGGGACTTCTGCTTCTCTTTTCATTGCGCAAGAAACCTTGGGCAGTGTTAGATATAGGACCACCTTCCACTGAAAAGTAAAGCCAAAATTGTTTTTGATGTCCTTGTCCTGACTTAATTTGCTTTTGTTTAGACTTACTGCTTTCTGTTTGTTCCTCACTGAGGAAAATTTCCTAAATCTAACACTTTAAAACAGAGCAAAAACAATGTTGACTGTATTGGGTGGTTTTGGAGGGGATAAAAATCGACACTCATAGATCATGTTCTTTTTCCTGTCTCCTCCTTCCTGTCCTTCCACCTCCTTCCTCTGTCTCTGTCTCTCTCTCTGACACACACACCTTTCTTCAAGAGCACTGAAATTAACGGCAAATACTTTCTGTAGTAAAAGCTTTATTTTTCTGTAATTTAAAAAGGTGTGGCTTTCTCCTGTGTACAACTGACAAGCAAAGTCTGTTCACACCGAGAGGCTGGAGGGCAGTGAGCTCGGTGTCAACATGTGTATACTTTGTGCGGGGGGGCGGCCCCCCCACATGTAGTATAAGAATGTGTGGGCATGCTTTCAAAAGCCTGTTTGGCAGCACTGAGAGAGAAGAACCTGTCGCATTAGTGCTTCCTCTTGGCCTCTGCAGTGTGACTTCGTGCTTTAAGCCAAAGTAGTGAGCTATAGCACGCTTGGGCCTGGCTGCCCACCAACATGCAGCCAGGGTGCTTTTGGTTGACTGCGAGCTTTGTCAGGAAAAGTATAGCAGAGTCTTTATTTTTTGTGTAACTCTTTGCCACTGACAGTCCACAAAGGATCATCTTGTGACGCTAACGTAAATCAGCTATAGACTCTCAGCAAATATAAACCCAGAGCAGTACACACCTTGTCAAATAGCCGTCATCATGGTATTAATGGCAACACTATTCCATCTTTGCAGTGTTTACGTATCAAAATGCATGGTGCAGATTTATTACTTTAATACATATTTCCACATTATCTATTGACTTTAAGGTCACTGTCACAAAGACTTCATTCTCAATAAAGCAATGGGTGAAAATGTTTTACATGCATCATTGTGCAACTTAGATGGAAAATGTACGCACCTATGTGCCAAAAGGAGCACATGCGTTACGTTTTCTGTTATTGGGCTCTTTTCATTCAAATCAAAGCAGCACAGAATATCTGTGTACCGTTTTCCCAAAACACAGCCCCTCCAAACATGTATGTTCACGCCTTCTCATTTTCCAGCTCTGGACTCATAGGTGATTCCTGGCAAACCTTTTTGGGCAGATTGTAATAACAAATCACCTTTCCCTTCCCATGATAAGTCATTTAACACATTAAAGGGGGGGTGGGGGTGGTTGAAGGGGATGGGTTCTGTGGTAATGTATAAAAAATAACTCAGTGATAGTCCAGCACTAACCTGAAAGTGATGAAGTTGTTGGTAAGCTTTCAGTAATTCCTAACTCAGGTCTGAAATAGGTGAAACTTCAGCATTGGAATTGGACATCTTCCCCCAATTAACGTGTGGCTTGCTGCCCTTGGTTTGGTTAAGATGCTTCTAGATGTAGTTATGGTTCACCTTGGAAGCCTGTTTTTTAAAAAGCAGGGTATGAATCAATCCCTTAAAAAAAGAAAGCCCACAGCACTTTATATACTTCTTACATTCTTTCATACCCTGCCTTCGAAGGCAGGCCAATTTCTCTTGTAGTTCTTGGACAGCTCCAATTGGCTTTCAGTAAAAAGGGATATCCAGACTTAAAGACTTTTTGTTAAAGTTGAAAAGATGCTGTGTGAACTGGCCCCACACTGATGAGAGTCACTACAGTTGGCTCCTTGGAAAAGATTCACAACAAAACCCTTACTGTGTCTGTTGATCTCTGCCCCCAAGCTGTGTTTTATTGACTCAAATCAGGGCTGCCAACTGCTGCAGCTTGAGATGGCTCAGCGTTGCCTAATGGAGTCCAGGCCAGGACTTGCTAGGGCTTTCATGAATTACAGATTGTTTTTAGGGTAACAAGCCCCTGGCAGCATAGTGACAAGATAAAAGAAACATTGTGAAAATGTCCTGGTATGCTTTATTTTTGAGTTGAAACTGCAAAGGAAACCTGTAAAATAGGACACAGGCAGGTTTTAGTATTTCATTCATTCTGGCCAGCTATAGAACATAAAATCTGTTATTTCTAAAGTTATAAGACTCCCAGTGGGACCAGTTTTCATTGACTACTAGGTTCCCAGTATTCAGTAAATTGAGACTCATATTTATTGGGCAAGTTTTAGATGTCAAAACGGTTAACTCTTCTTTTGCTAACAGAAGCTCAATGTGTAACAGTGAAATAGTCCTGGTCAGTAAACCTGGCTGCTCTACCTTATTCTGCCATACTCGCTTAGAACTTTTAGAAGGCTCATTTCCTGAGTTAAATAGCTGGCTTGATTACCAGAAAACATGGGAGGAAACATGATACTGTATCTTTCTCCCATGTATCAGCCTGGTGGGTTCTTTCCGCCAAGTTCTTACACCATTGAGCCATCAGAGCCCCTTGCATTCCACCTGTAAATAACTAAAATTGTCAGTTGGTTCAATGGCTCTTGGGTTCTTCAAACTGTGTAAACAGAGGGAATGCTATTTTGTAATGTGAAAGAAACCCAAAGAAAGATCCTAGTTTAAAAAGAATGGGCATTGTTGTATAAACATCATTAATGGTGGCATATTACATGTAGTAAGCTTGGCAAAGCTATCCAGCTAAATTAGATCCCCCCCCCCGCCCCCCCTTTTCAGTCACTTGATAGTAGCTGAACAATAAATCTATAGTTGTTTTTACCATTTCCAAGGGGATACAGAATTGGGTAATTGAAGAGCAGTATGGTTTTGAGATTGCTATTTTAATTTTTCTTGTATCTGTGCTTCTTCGAGTGGGTGTCAGACATGTGGGGGCCTGAGCTCTGGGAGAGAAGTAGGTCCAGCCTGTGCGTCTTACATACTTGGTCTTGACAGTCTTACTGCCCTACCCTCAAACTGAAAAGTTTGCATTATAAATTCAGGTACTTAAAAGGAACTAATTTTCTGGCATATTAAACTTATTTACATTTTCTGTTGAAATGATTAAATCGCTCTTAGAAATTATCCTATGGAAGAAAAAAAAAATTATCCTATGGACTCTTAAAAACTAAAAAAAACTCAACTACCATGAGTCATGCCAACTCAAGTGACCCTGTAGGACAAGGTAGAATGCCCCCCGTTTGAGTTTCTGAGAATGGAACTATTTACAGGAGTAGAAAGCCTCATCTTTCTTTCACAGAGGCAGGCTGATGACTTTGAGCTGCTGATCTTGTGGATTGCAGCCCAATGCATAACCATTATGCCACCAGGACTCTGTGGACTCTAAAGACCACAGCCCTTTCACACCCATGGCCATTCATTTGAAGTGTGTGCTCAAGCTCCTGAATAAGCCGAAATTTTACCTCATTCTTCTTGATATCTCTTGCTTCTGTTTCACTTCCCTCAAAGAATTTAATTCTAATGTGAGCTTTTTGTGTGAATGTCTTTTCATAATGACTTTAATACTTTATAATCATAATTATAATCTAAAATTAAAAATTTCTCAACATAATTGAGAACTTTAAAACTTAGCATTATTATTACCAATTTATTAAAGGAATAAATCTCGGGTATTTTTTATGGATATTTATTGAAGACTGAAATGTTACTGTAAATGTACTTTGAATGAGACATGATAGAACATAAATTCCTTTTTCCTTTTTAAATAGATGTAAGAAATTTTACTTTATAAGTAAGTAGATGGGGGAAAGTTTTTTCAGTAGTTTCATTAAGTTGAACAACTTTTGAGATTATCTTCCAGAATCAGTGACTTTTAAAAAATCACCTAGTGATTATGTATATAGCAGCTGGCAGCTCATTTAGGCCCTCCTTGAATTCTGCGGAAAGAAAACTGAAAACACGCTACTTAAAATCTTTGTAGACTATTAGTCCTGTGCTCTCTTCTCCATCTCTCTTCTGGAGTCTCTGGGTAGTCAACGGCTTGTCTTTGGGAGGGCTTTGTAGCCCAGGGCCACAGAGGGATGGGACACCTTGCTCGTGTAAAGTGGAGGAGGAGTGCCCTGTGAAATAAGCCCCTGGGACGGGCGGTCTTCTCAGACCAGGGTAGACGAGTATTTGGGGGAGGAAATGGAGGCTGCTCCTGGAGACCATACTGGCCTGCTCAGTGTAATTTTTAATTTTT